TAGTTGCGGGTGCCGGTCCGGTGTATCCTCCGCCCTCATCCCTACTTGCTCCAAACACACCACAAATAAATAAGAGCTCAATAGAAGACTATGTGGATTTCCCTGAAAAGTGACCTTCATTCAATTTAGAGAAGTCCCGGAGGTGTATTATAAAGAGAGACATTACTATGGGACCCTCGTCTTTGTGAGTCAGTACTGCCACAGTGGTTGTGTTTGTTTTTTGGTGCTTTTTTATCATGTCTCACTGATGTAATCAATATCCAGTCACGGCTCACTAATCCATTTTTAAACTCAATACTATTGGGGCGCAGGTAGATTCCCAAAAGAGAAAATCTGTTCCCTCTTACTGAATTGAAGGTCTCAGTGATACAAAAAATCCTTAATCTGCAACGACAACCTGTGAAAATAAGATGTGATTTGACTGCTTTGGGGCAAACAAGCAGTATCTAATCCTGTAACTTTCAATAATCCTTTCCAGTGTGCAAATCAGTCTGGGAGCAAGAACAAGTCTGAGAGAAAATTTGGGAAACTTTATTTTCTGGTAAGGACTGAAACACATCCTAGAGGTAGCTCACTGAAAAGCCAGCCAACTAATAGGTCTGCTCTGACAGAGCCAATTAATGATATCTGAGCCCAAAGGTGGAGTACAGTGGGAGGTTTACCCAATTACCTAGATTCATATCAATCTATGAATCTAGGTAATTTTGGAACCAAAAAATAGTGGCCAGGACTCTGGACAAACAACATTAATCAAGCTAGCTCAAACCTATCCTAGCATATATCATGTGGAGACCACTTAAGGTCAATAGCAATAGCATCAGCAGCAACATTTCTGGGGCAGCAAGAAAGTTAACACACGTTTCTTACACATTCCAGTAGAGGTATGTAAAAGGAAGAGAGGAGGGCTGAGTGGTGATTTTGTATGTGGTATTTTCAAGCAAATAGACCAATAATCTCTAATCCTAGTCAACAGCAGTACCTTTAATACACTTGTTTATCCAAAAGTCTCAGACAAGACAAACTCAAACAAGAAATGCAGTTTCTATTTTCCTAAAATAAAATTCAGATGACACAGTTTTGAGGTCCTCCATCAGTGACAAGATTAAACTGTTGGCACTAGCCCTAGCTGTTTTCAACATTCCTCTGTTAAAGAATAATTGCTCCAAATATCCCTGAGTGTACTGCTTCCTTTTGAAAACTAGGAAGATAACTTCTTATTGTCACTGACATTAAGCATAAGGCTGATTTTCTGGAAGCAGAGATAAAAAGTAAATTAACAACATATTTTACTGTACAGTTTTATTACTAAAAGCCTACTTGTCCTATAAAGATATTTAAATTGATTAGAAGCTTTTTGGCACCAAATGAAGTCACTCCAAGATTTATATAAACATAAATATAAGAGTAGTAGGAGAATCTGTTAGGTTTTGGGGGTTTTTTTACTAATACGATTTTTGTTGCTCTGTAACTATCTTGAGTGAAAGTGGAGCAAATATTTAAAAGTCCCTGAATGGACAAAAGTGTGAAAATTAAATACAAAATAAATTTCCTTAATAAATAGTGAGAGCCCTATTCTCTGTTTTCTCTCTTTTCCCTGCCCCTCCTCCCTCCCTTTCAGTCATTAGAGTTTTGGCATCTAAATGGCCTACTTTAAACCATAAAACTTACTGAAGCACCTAATATGAAACAATAAAAACTTTTCTACAGCCACTAAAACTGTTATATGGGATGTACAGTGTTTTGATGCAAGAATAATTACCTGATAAGAATAGGATGTACTTGAATCCTAATTCTTTTATAACATACAGGTATAGTTCATGGAGTTCACAAAGTAAAATTAATATCAATAATTATATGTTCTTGTAATCACATTTAGAATTCATTTCTCAAAAGCCACATAAATATAATCAAACATGCCAAATCTCCATGTACCCCTTGACGTGACCTTCTCTGATGATCCAGAGGTAACAGAAGCAACATATAAATTCAGGAGAAAGTTACTACCCTATAATTTACTGTTTCCCCTGACCTGAACAGAAGCTGAAGAAAAGTGCTTATCTAAACATCTGTCTTCAAACATGTGAAATACAGTATCCTACAGTTCCCTTGAACAGATGCCTCTCTCATTCCAGCTGAAGATTTGAAACATCTTGACAATTAGTTTGTAACTCTGCTCCTATGCACGTTCATTCTGAATCTGTGTGCACATTTTTAATTCTTCTTATACAAAGGTGGTTAAAAAAAAGCACCAAAATATTTAATTAAAAATTACAATTACTTTGTAATTTGGTTTTAGAAAGCATTCTCCCCCCCCCCAAAAAAAATTGAAAGATATTTGCATAAATTTTCCAACCAAATGTTAAATATTTTCAACCACACATCATCTTTCTTCTTTTCTGTCTGAAAACACAGGCTACCAGTAAAAATCAATGGCATATTTATCCTTTTTTTTAAGCTTCAGAAAAAGAATTAAAAATGTATATTTGTTTTCCTAACCTTATCTAGTTCACATTTTCCTGCACTGGTATACAGAACCGACATAATATACAGGACACAATTTTACAGATGACTAAGTACCCACCACCAAAAGAGAGAAAGTAATGAATCTCAATGTATCTAGTAGAGAAGAACTTTTAATTATACCAAATAGTGAATTCTATGTATCAGCTTTTAGATGAATGATAGTTTGTACTCAAACTCATTAACCTTTCAGAATTCACAAATAGTTTCAATTAAACCATCAGTCACCACAGTATTCAGACATGCCAGGATTTTCCCTTAAAGTATCTGTCAGTCACTTAGGGCTACATCTAGGCCACACAGAAAATTAAGGAAGAGTAGGATGCTTCCTGCCTCCCAGCATGATACAACCAGTATTTGCCATCTACCCCAAAACAGGTGAGTGGGGAGTAGATGGAGATCCCACGTCGGAGCTGGTAGGAAATTGGGGGTTACTGCCTCAGGGGATGAAGGGGCAGTAAGACCAGGAAAAGAAATATGTCCCAGATATATGATTTCTTTTCTGTGTTGTTCCTGGGATGATGCAAAATCCCTTACACAGCGTTCACCTTCCACAGCGAGAGATCACCTCAGCACATTGGCTAGTTATTTAACTCTTTTAAATATTATTTATTTACTTACATATTTGTCACCAGCATTTTATATTCTCAGCAGAAAGCTCTGCTTGTTTTCCCCACATAAACTAAAGGAGCAGAATTTTGTTATTTTTCTCCAACACTGCAAGTACTCCCTTATTAAATGATTAGTCTCAATATAATCACCTTTTCTCTTTACTGAGATCTTACCCTGTGCATCACAAAATTGCTGCATTCATGCATGACCTTGCTACTGAACTCAAGCGAGAAAACCTGGTCATAAGAATATGTCTTACACTTTGACAATACCTAAGGAGCTAAACCATCATTTTATATGCACTAATACTACACAAATTCTATATGCACATTTTATATGCGCAATCATTTCAGCGCTGAAACACAGCCATCTCTCAGACAGAAGGCAGCAGCCAAGTGGAAAACTATTGGGGAGTACACAGCACAGTGGGAGTAGAAGAAATTGATGGCCAATGCACCAGGAAAACCCTTGCTCTTGTATATAAAGGGCAATGGGATGCCTATGCAAAGCAGAATCAGAGTTTTTAAAGGTCTTGTTTGAAAGATCTCCCATATAGTAAGCTGCATGGAAAGAAACTTCCCTTCCTTAGACAAAACAAGAATAGCAACTGCGAACAAAAAAAAGATAGTTGAGGGAAAGGATTTTTTGAAACAGAAGAGGTATCTACTCTACAGGGGATGATGCTCTTTGGGCTGAAAGCCAAGTCACATGCTCTGCAATAGATGTAGTTTAACCTCCAAATCTTCTAGTGTCCCATTTCAGCAGAAGTCCTAATAATGCCCAAGTAAGCCCTGACTTCAGTGGTGCAACACAGATACTTAAAAGCTATCTACTGCTTTGGTAACTTCACTCAATCAAGAAATTTGTTTCTGTGCCTTTGAATGCTATCTATAAAATAAGAATACTACTACCTCCCTACAAACAAAAGTATTGTGAGACTGAGTTCCTGGGTATCTGCATTAGGGAAATACTACAGAAATGTCATCATTTCACTCTGGACTTTCTGAACTTGACTGCTGTTCAGAGTTTGAGGAATAGCTAAACTGAACTTATCTGCTTTGCTAGGGAATGTATCTAACACTTCATTCAGTTAATAAAATATGAATAGTCAATAATAGAAGATGGAGGAGTAGCAGCTGGCTATAAGAAAATACAAAGCCTGAAACACCATTTAATAGTCTTACAATGCAGATAACCTGTAAAGGACCATAAATGACCAGATCACTGCAAAGCTGGTCATTTCTTCTTGCTTTTGCAGCCTATCATTATTACCTGCTCTGAAAGCCAGAGGTGTAACAGGGCAGCTCCCAGAAGACAGGGAAGCTCTGCCTGGAGCAGCACCAGAGGCTTGCTGTGCTGCTGGCAGTCATGGCATGGCCAGTCACCAGCTGTGGCAGCAGCTATTACTGTGCCCCCAGAAGCAGCATGTGGGGCTACTGACTGGCTGCACCTTCTCAGTTACACTATTGATGACAGCAGTCCTCATGTGTCACACTGCACATCTAACAGGTTCTTCTTGTGACAAACAGGTAAGTGAAATTGGCAAAACAGTCATGAATAATCTGCAAGCTTTGAGAGTTTTATGGAAAAGACATCAGATTGTAGCTTTTTTCTCATCATGATAAATGAAGCCAAAGGAGGGAAAGTAATAAAGTATAAACTAGAAAATGACCTTAACATCAGTTTTGAAGCTCAAGTCTATTTGGGTGAGTTGACAGATAAGCAGGAAACTTGAGTTTCAGTCAAATGTGGAAGACTGATGGGTCCCCCCTCAAAGAGATATGAAAGGACTTCCAGTTCAGTTACCTATAATTTGTAAAAAAAAAAAAAAAAAGCATATAAAAAAGAATACCATCATGATATCAACACTTGCTTGTGCAGCTACCACTCCCTTCCTA